TATATATTTATGTGTCAGTGTGCGCGCAATGGCGGCGGCGTGTGTTTACAGTTGAAACGCTTCAAGTGCCTGTGCACACAGGCACTTTGAACGTCTCAATAAAATAAAAAAATGCTATTAATGGTAAATAAACACGAAATGTACCAAAAGTCTTAATGTTTCTCTACTGTATTTTGCCTATAATCACCTGTAAATGCCGGTCAGCACAGCGCGGGCGGGCGTTCGGTGTACTTGTGTGTTGCAGATGAGCATTTGACCGGCATTTACAGGTGATTATAGGCGAAATACAGTGGAGAAACATTAAGACTTTGGTACATTTCGTGTTTATTTACCATAATTTTTTTTTATTGAGACGTTCCAAGTGCCTGTGCATAAACCGACCAGTCACCAGGCTTTCCGACTGTTACACGTCATAGGACAACATCTCGCCAACGTAGTGTTAAGCGAGAAGGGAACTTGTTGCTACAGCCAACATAGCTCTAGTAGTACTAGTAGTAGTACTACTACTATACTACTACTACACTAGAGCTACGGACAACAGCTCATATGCGTCTAAACAGAGGAATTGCTCCGACTTGTGATTGGAGGGTAAAAATAGAATTCTTGACGTTTCGTTTTTATTTTGGCATTTAGCCTATGGGCGCGTTTGTTTGGGACGAATCCGTCTGATCGAGATCATGTGATCCTGATCCGACCAAACGAACGCAAACTCACTTCCACCTGTTCACGTTTCGCTGTGACCTATCACGGGATGGTTCATAACAAAGAACAAGCTGTCATTGGCTGAGGTGCGGGCCGCCATATTGGATCCCGTTCGAATCTACCTCGCTAGCAGGGTCGGGTTCGGTGAATTGAGATCAAGTGATCCGACCAAACAAACAGTCAGATCAACGAATCCATTGGATCGAGATCCGTGGATCCGACCAAACAAACGCGCCCTATGACTCGAGTATGAGCGATACCGCGCGTACATATTTGCTAATTAATTAAGCTAATCGCCCTTCAATAAACTCAAGACTTGCAGGGATCATAGCTAAGAC